AGGTCTGTGCACGTGTGTCTCTTCTGCAGCTCGGACTTCACGTGGGCGAGTCCAGCAGTGTCAGCTGTGGCAAAGACCAAGTCGTCGACGTACAGGAGGATGTAGAAAGGCGGCAAAGAAGTGTCGGTGCGCAGAAACAGCGACGGGTCGGCAGTAGACGGAGCAAACCCAAGAGCCGCAAGTGTAGTCCTCAGTGTGTCGTGCCACTCACGCGGTGCCTGGCGGAGACCGTAGACTGGTCGCCGGAGGCTCCACTGGGTGCCAGGAGGAAAAGACCCAGTGAAGCCAGGTGGGCGACGCAGCCAGATCTCCTCGTGCAGGCTGCCCTGCAAGAAAGCAGTGCTGAAGTCAAGAGAGTGCAGCTCGTAGTCGCGGTGAGCAGCTACGTGCAGCAGTACCCGAAGAGTGGTCATCTTCGGGGTGGGAGAGAAGGTCTGAAAGTAGTCAACTCCCTGCCGCTGACTGAAGCCACGAGCCACGTAACGCGCCTTGAAGACAGGCGGAGAACCCGGCGGTCGCTTCACCCTGAAAATCCACATGCCACTGACGATGTTCGCCCCAGGCGGGGGAACCTCGTCAACGTAGGTGCCTGTGGACTTCCAGGAAGCCATCTTTGTGTCCATAGCTGCCTGCCACTGAGAGGAGTAGGGACCCTCTATCGCCTCCGCGTAAGAGCGCGGAGTCGGGATGTCAAGTGCATCCGGGTCTCCCTCAGGGGTAAGCAGTACGAACACGAGATGAGGTGAAGCAGCAGCCAAACACTGGAACTCCTCCTGCCTGTCCTCAAGGACGTCCGTGCCAAGGGCACACTCACCCCCGACGGACGGAGGACAGACTGACTCAGACTCAACGACAAGACTAGCAGCGTAGTCTAGACGACAGCGAGCAGCAAAGTCGACGAGCTCAGCAACTAGGGCAGACGCAGCAGTGGACTCAAAGGAAGGGTCAGTGACGACAGTAGCAAGGAGACGCGTGACAGTAGGACTGGCAGCACGAAGAGAGTCCGACTCCGGGTCGGGAAGAGCAGGAAGAGAGGACTCAGGAGGAGAAGGCAAAGGGGCACGCAGAGGAGCAGTGGACGGACGCAGAGACATCCGGTGCGTGCCAGGGACAGGAGGAGGACGCTGACGCGAACCACGGCCACTAGTGCAAGCAAGACGGACAGGCGACGCAGGGCGAGACGCAGGCTCACGACGCTCAGCCAGACCTCCAGTAGGACCAGTGTAGGGAGAAGGAGCGGGCAGTGTGAAGGCCGGCTGTAACTGTAACTGGGACGGGACAGGCTGTGGACACTCTAAGGGAGGAGGAGGACCAGTAGAAGGCGGGAGACCAAGAACCTGCTGAAGGAGCGGGACGAAGTACGGCCGAGGCCGCGCGGCGACTCTTGACACAGCAGGGACAGCACCCGTACCCCCAGCGGCAGCACCAGCGCCAGCAGCACCTCCAGCTCCAGTACCTCCAGCAGCACCAGTAGCACCCCCAGCAGGACCGCCTCCAGGACCGACAGCAGTAGCCTCAGCGCCAACACCCTCAGCAGCTCCAGCTCCAGGCGTACCCGCAGGCCCAGCAGCTCCAGTACTCCCAGTACGAGCACCTCCGGGACCCGCAGCACCAGCACCCGCAGCAGTCGAAGAACCTCCAGCTCCAGCAGCACGCCTCCAGCGTCGGGCAAACCACTCTCGCAGCTCCTGTGGAGAGAGTGGCTCCCGCCGAGACGAAGCACCCGGAGAACCTCCAGGCTCAGCACCGCCAGACGCCACACGAGCAGGCCCAGCTCCCTCAGGCTCCGCACCCCCAGGCTCAGCACCTCCAGGCGTAGCACCCCCAGGCTCAGCACCCCCAGGCTCAGCACCCCCAGTAGTAGCACCCCCAGGCTCAGCACCCCCAGGCTCAGCACCCCCAGTAGTAGCACCCTCAGGCTCAGCACTCCCAGAGTCAGCACCCCCAGGCTCAGCACCCTCAGCAGCACCAAAGTCACCAGTAACCTCGACAGGCTCGACTGCGTCTACCTGGGACACACCTGAAGGGGCAGGACCCTGAGGGGGGAGGGGGTCTACCGGGGGGGACCTGGCACAAGGAAGAGCGGTGGCGGGGGGAGGGACGGAGTGCGGTAGGGGAAGAGGCGGTAGTAGGGGACCGACTCGTCAAACGTGACGTCCTGGGAGGACAGAACACGGCGAGAGGTGGGGTGGTAGAACTGCCACCCTGGCGCGTCAGGGGGGAAGCCAAGGAAGACGCAAGGAGCAGCACGAGGGGACAGCTTGTCCGCAGACAAGTCGCGGACAAACGCCCGAGATCCCCAGACACGGAACGCAGACGCATCGCCAACCTTCCCCGTCCACAGCAAAGCTGGGGAGGTCTCCGGCATGGAGACCCTGGGGTGAAGGTTGATCTGGTGCGCCGCGTACCGAACCGCAAACGGCCACAGAAAATGGGGGGCAGCCGCATGCATCATGGACGTACGGGCGACGTCCATGACCATGCCAATGCGGCGCTCAGCAATCCCATTTTGCTGTGGAGAGTCCGGAAGCGTGAAGGTCTGGCGGATGCCTCGTGCACGACAGTAGGCTCGCAGAAGGCCAGAGGAGAACTCTCCACCTCTGTCAGAGTGCAGACGCAGAACAGGAAAGTCCGAGCCGAAGCTCTGCCTGAGCTGGAGACGAGCTGCGCGGATCCAGTCGATCAGCACCTCAGTGACATCACCCTTGCTGCGCAAGGGGAAGACCGTGGTGTAACGCGAGTAGTCGTCAACCACCAGCAGGAAGTAGCGCTCGTGACCCTGTCCACGGACGCGGGCCGGGCCCCACACGTCCATGTGAAGCGTCTGCAGCGGGGCCTCTGTCGGAGGAAACTGGGAGGAGTGAGGGGCAGCCCGCTGCCGCCCCTCGACACAAGGGACGCAGGTAGGGCCGGGCACCGGAGGAAGGGGAGGGAGGGACCGGGGAAGACCAGAGACAAGGACACGGGAGGCCATGCCTCGGAGACGAAGCAGGGAGGGGTGACCAAGGCGGTGGTGCCAGAGGAGAGTCTCGTGCGACAGGAGGCGACACGAACAGGGGGCAGACTCAGGACCAGACCTGGACGCTGCAGCAAACACCTGACCCGACGCAGCTACCTGACCAGACGCAGTGACTGGAGGAGACGTAGTGGTCATTGTGTACAGGCTCGACCCCGGCCGACGTGTAAACGTGGCCAGGTGTCGGCCTGTCCGAGCGTCCGTGCAGTGGGTCACCCGCTGACTCGCAGGAGTGAAATGGTGAACCCCTGCATCCTGTAGGTCAGCACCACTCACCAAGTTCGTAGAGAACGAGGGGAGGTAAAGACCAGACAGGGTGCCAGAGGGGGCCGCCGGACACGGGAGGACAGTGGAGAAGTGAGCAAGGACAGGACCCCCAGAGGGGTCTGCCAGAGAGACTGCAACTGGCCGGCCAAGCGGCGTGAGTGTGGTGCGGTCTCGAAAGAAGGAGCGAGAAGCCCCCGAGTCAAGGGTGAAGGTGTGGGAGGCCGAAGCCGACGCAGTACCTGAGAGAGCAGACTCACCAGCACCTGAGTGAGCAGACGTACGGGCACCTAGAGCAGCAGCCTCGCTAGCACCTAGAGCAGCAGCCTCACCAGTACCTAGAGCAGCAGTCTCAATGCCCGGGTCGGGCGGAAAACACCGGTAACAGTCACCCTCATCACTAATAGTCACAGCATACATGGCAGCAAGAATAGCATCAAAGTCAAGGTCAAAGACAGCTACACCCGCCCTAGACAGCTCGCCCCAGCGGGGGATCTCAGTGGCCTCAGGGAACTGGTGACACCAAGCGTCCGTCAGGCGGCCAAAGCAGCGCTGGGTGGAGTGCGCACCCCCGCACTGCTCACCCGCGCGGTCGCCGGTGCGTAGGACGTAGGTGCACGGACCAGTACCCCCACCCCGCTGGCGTGCAGCGTACCACTCACGGAGCTGCTGAGGGGGGGGGATGTCACGAGTGCGCTGCTGCCGCTGCTGCTGCTGCTGCTGCTGCTGGCGCTGACCACCACCGGAGCCGACCCTCTGCCCAGCGCCACCCCGACCAGCTCCACCTCCTCCGCCGCCGCCTCCTCCACCGCCGCCACCTCCGCCACCTCCGCTCCCACCGCCACCGCCGCCGCCGCCTCCGCCTCCACTGCCGCCACCGACACCTCCACCCCCGCCACCACTCCCACCACCACCCCCACCCCCTCCACTGCCGCCACCGCCACCTCCGCCACCCCCGCCAGCCCCTCCAGCACCCTTGCCCCCCTTGCCCTTGCCGGTGCGGCGTCTCCCGCTCGGGGCAGACGCAGCGCCGACCGACTCGAGACCAACGAGGTCGGCCGCAGCAGCAGAGGCAACAGAGGGCAAAAGGGGGGAGGGGGAACACCCCTCAAAGACGGGGGTGCGAGGGTCACCACGAGAGGCTCCTACAGCGACTATGCTCTTCTCTGCTGCTAGGAGGGCCTTCTCGAGGAGGTCAACGGTGAGAGTGGTGGGGCAAACTGAGAGGAAGTGGTCCCTGACTACGCGAAGGGAGTCAGGGAGCCGGGTGACTATGTAGTAGAGGGTGATGTACATGGGGGGGGGGTTCTTGGCGCAGAACTCAGCAGGAAGCGCAGCGCGGTAGCGAGTGTCACTAGTGCGGAGGTGCGTAATGAGGTCAGCGACTGTGGGAAAGGCAGCAAGGTCAGGGAAGAGGTACGGTAGCATGAGGCGGCTCAGTGCAGCAGTGGCAGGGGAGGAGTAGCGCGCAACTACAGCGTCGTACAAGGTGTGAGCACTCTTGTACTGGCTAAAGTGCGCACGCTCAGAGGTAGGCAGGTGGCGACGCACAGCTAGACGTGCAGCAGCATCGCGTGTGGCCCACTGTGAGCGAACAGTGGCGTCGGCATCAGCAGCAGGGGCAGGAGAGGCACCAGAGTTGAGGTCAAAGAGGGAGAGACCGTCTGCCCTATCGCACTGTAAGAACAGCTGCAGGTCATCTACCCAGACGTCAAAGTCAATGGCCCGACCCTCAGCGTCAAAGGCGAGGACACTAGGGGTAGCCATGACAGCAGTAGACTAGCAGTGCGAACAGTAGGGTAAGGGCAGTGCAGTGATAGAGGCGCTGCTCTTACCGGACAGGGCGGCTCGGGCGGCTCAGCGGCTCGGCGGCTCGGCAGGACGGCGGGTCGGCGACACGGCGGCTCGGGCGGCTCGGCGGCTCGGGCGACTCGGCGGCTCGGGCGGCTCGGGCGGCTCGGCAACTCGGCGGCCCGGGCGGTTCGGCGGTCGGCTGCTGGGCGGCTCGGCGGCTCGGCGGCTCGGCTGCAGGACGGCTCGGCGGCTCGGGTGCGCGGCTGCTGGGCGGCTCGGCGGCTGGTGTGGTTGGTGACGACCGCGGCAGCAGTCGCAGAAGCTGTGGCGACTGCTGCTGCAGAGACGGCTGCGGCTGCTGCCTCAGGGACGGCGGCTGCCGGCCGCTAGGGGCCGCGAAGAGCGGCGGAGAGGCCGTGAAGGGCACCACGAGGGGCCGTCGAGGGCGGCAACAAGCCGTGAGAAGGCCGCGGAAGGCGGCGCGACGGGGCCGTGAGGGGCCTAGCGAGGGCGCGACGGTAGGGAGAGCACACAGGGCGCGACTCGGGCCGGAGCGAAGCGCGCTCCCGGCAGGAAAAAAAAAAATTTCGTGGTGGTGGGCCCTAGGAATCGTTCCCACTAGGGAACCTGCTCGATACCATGAGAAGAAACGAGGAATGAATGACTAAGGGAAAGTTGGGTACAAATGTAAACCCTAGAAAACTGTACCCCATATGTGCTACCCCACTATAGCCTACAGTAGCTATGTCATATAAATCTGACACACCCCGCCCCATTCTCCCGCTTTCCATCACCCCGCCCCCTTCTCCCGCTTTCCATCACCCCGGCCCATTCTCCCGCTTTCCGTCACCCCGTCCCATTCTCCTGCTTTCCATCACCCCGCCCCATTCTCCCGCTTTCCATCACCCCGCCCCATTCTCCCGCTTTCCAACACCCCGCCCCATTCTCTCGCTTTCCATCACCCCGCCCCATTCTCCCGCTTTCGATCACCCCGCCCCATTCTCCCTCCTTCCATCACCCCCTCCTTCCATCACCCCCATTCTCCCGCTTTCCATTACCCCGCCCCATTCTCCCGCTTTCCATCACCCCACCACATTCTCCCGCTTTCCATCACCACGGCCCATTTTCCCGCTTTCCATCACCCCGCCCCATTCTCCCTCCTTCCATTACCCCCTCCTTCCATCACCCTGCCCCATTCTCCCGCTTTCCATCACCCCGCCCCATTCTCCTGCTTTTCATCACCCCGCCCCATCCTCCCGCTTTCCATCACCCCGCCCCCTTCTCCCGTTTTCCATCACCCCGGCCCATTCTCCCGCTTTCGATCACCCCGCCCCATTCTCCCGCTTTCCATCACCCCGCCCCATTCTCCCGCTTTCCATCACCCCGCCCCATTCTCCCGCTTTCCATCACCCCGCCCCATTCTCCCGCTTTCCATCACCCCGCCCCATTCTCTCGCTTTCCATCACCCCGCCCCATTCTCCCGCTTTCGATCACCCCGCCCCATTCTCCCTCCTTCCATCACCCCCTCCTTCCATCACCCCCATTCTCCCGCTTTCCATTACCCCGCCCCATTCTCCCGCTTTCCATCACCCCACCACATTCTCCCGCTTTCCATCACCACGGCCCATTTTCCCGCTTTCCATCACCCCGCCCCATTCTCCCTCCTTCCATTACCCCCTCCTTCCATCACCCTGCCCCATTCTCCCGCTTTCCATCACCCCGCCCCATTCTCCTGCTTTTCATCACCCCGCCCCATCCTCCCGCTTTCCATCACCCCGCCCCCTTCTCCCGTTTTCCATCACCCCGGCCCATTCTCCCGCTTTCGATCACCCCGCCCCATTCTCCCGCTTTCCATCACCCCGCCCCATTCTCCCGCTTTCCATCACCCCGCCCCATTCTCCCGCTTTCCATCACCCCGCCCCATTCTCCCGCTTTCCATCACCCCGCCCCATTCTCCCTCCTTCCATCACCCCGCCCCATTCTCCCGCTTTCCATCACCCCGCCCCATTCTCCCGCTTTCCATCACCCCGCCCCATTCTCCTGCTTTCCATCACCCCGCCCCATTCTCCCGCTTTCAATCACCCCGCCCCATTCTCCCGCTTTCCATCACCCCGTCCCATTCTCCTGCTTTCCATCACCCCGCCCCATTCTTCCGCTTTCCAACACCCCGCCCCATTGTCCCTCCTTCCATCACCCCGCCCCATTCTCCCTCCTTCCATCACCCCGCCCCATTCTCCCGCTTTCCATCGCCCCGCCTCATTCTCCCGCTTTCCATCACCCCGCCCCATTCTCCCGATTTCCATCACCCCGCCCCATTCTCCCGCTTTCCATCGCCCCGCCCCATTCTCCCGCTTTCCATCACCCCGCCCAATTCTCCCGCTTTCCATCACCCCGCCCCATTCTCCCGCTTTCCATCACCCCGCCCCATTCTCCCGCTTTCCATCACCCCGCCCCATTCTCCTGCTTTCCATCACCCGCCCCATTCTCCCGCTTTCCCTCACCCCGCCCCATTCTCACGCTTTCCATCACCCCGCCCCATTCTCCCGCTTTCCATCACCCCGCCCCATTCTCCCTCCTTCCATCACCCCACCCCATTCTCCCTCCTTCCATCACCCCGCCCCATTCTCCCGCTTTCCATCACCCCGCCCCATTCTCCCGCTTTCCATCACCCCGCTCCATTCTCCCGCTTTCTATCACCCCGCCCCATTCTCCCTCCTTCCATCACCCCGCCCCATTCTCCTTTCTTCGATCACCCCGCCCCATTCTCCCGCTTTCCAGCACCCCGCCCCATTCTCCCGCTTTCCATCACCCCGCCCCATTCTCCCGCTTTCCATCACCCCGCCCCATTCTCCCGATTTCCATCACCCCGCCCCATTCCCCCGCTTTCCATCACCCCGCCCCATTCTCCCGCTTTCCATCACCCCGCCCCATTCTCCCGCTTTCCATCACCCCGCACCATTCTCCCGCTTTCCATCACCCCGCCCCATTCTCCCGCTTTCCATCACCCCGCCCCATTCTCCCGCTTTCCATCACCCGCCCCATTCTCCTTCCTTCCATCACCCCGCCCCATTCTCCCACCTTCCATCACCACGCCCCATTTTCCCGCTTTCCATCACCCCGCCCTATTCTCCCGCTTTCCATCACCCCGCCCCATTCTCGCGCTTTACATCACCCCGCCCCATTCTCCCGCTTTCCATCACCCCGCCCCCTTCTCCCGCTTTCCATCACCCGGCCTATTCTCCCGCTTTTCGTCACCCCGCCCAATTCTCCCGCTTTCCATCACCCCGCCCCATTCTCCCGCTTTCCATCACCCCGCCCCATTCTCCCGCTTTCCAACACCCCGCCCCATTCTCTCGCTTCCCATCACCCCGCCCCATTCTCCTGCTTTCGATCACCCCGCCCCATTCTCCCTCCTTCCATCACCCCCTCCTTCCATCACCCCGCTCCATTCTCCCGCTTTCCATCACCCCGCCCCATTCTCCCGCTTTCCATCACCCCACCCCATTCTCCCGCTTTCCATCACCACGCCCCATTTTCCCGCTTTCCATCACCCCGCCCCATTCTCCCGCTTTCCATCACCCCGCCCCATTCTCCCTCCTTCCATTACCCCCTCCTTCCATCACCCCGCCCCATTCTCCCGCTTTCCATCACGCCCCATTCTCCCGCTTTTCATCACCCCGCCCCATCCTCCCGCTTTCCATCACCCCGCCCCCTTCTCCCGCTTTCCATCGCCCCGGCCCATTCTCCCGCTTTCCATCACCCCGCCCCATTCTCCCGCTTTCCATCAACCCGCCCCATTCTCCCGCTTTCCATCACCCCGCCCTATTCTCCCGCTTTCCATCACCCCTCCCCATTCTCCCGCTTTCCATCACCCCGCCCCATTCTCCTGCTTTCCATCACCCAGCCCCATTCTCCCGCTTTCCATCACCCGCCCCATTCTCCCGCTTTCCATCACCCCGCCCCATTCTCCCGCTTTCCATCACCCCGCCCCATTCTCCCGCTTTCCATCACCCCGCCCCATTCTCCCACTTTCCATCACCCCGCCCCATTCTCCCGCTTTCCATCACCCCGCCCCATTCTCCCGCTTTCCATCACCCCGCCCCATTCTCCCGCTTTCCATCACCTCGCCCCATTCTCCCTCCTTCCATCACCCTGCCCCATTCTCCTTCCTTCCATCACCCCGCCCCATTCTCCCGCTTTCCATCACCCCGCCCCATTCTCCCGCTTTCCATCACCCCGCCCCATTCTCCCGCTTTCCATCACCCCGCCCCATTCTCATGATTTCCATCACCCCGCCCCATTCTCCCGCTTTCCATCACCCCGCCCCATTCTCCCGCTTTCCTTTTTTTTTTTTTTTTTTTTTTTTTTTGGTGGATATAAGTATACAGCGTGCATACATACATCCGCAGTCGTAACTGTTTCTAGGAGGGCTAAATGATTCGAGAAACATTTCCCCCCTCTTCATCTCTACGGAGGTTGGAAAGCCACCCCACCATCTTCCCAAACTGCCTTGAAACCTGCCTTCCACGTCATCGAAGCTTCGCATTGGTACAATTTGCGCATGACATCCGCCTCGTCAGCTGCCAAATGACTCCAGTCACCTGTCTTTTTCGAAACCTTCTTGCCAGCCACCCTTTTCCGAGCCCGGCTGTAAATCTTCACGTGCCTTGCGAAGCTCACCGCTATGCGCCGCAGTGCCCTTTTTGGCTGGAACCGACTGCCCCTGAAAACCGCGTTGCACCTTTCTAGCCAGACTTGGTGCGCTGTGATCGAGATGAAAGCCGCCTCCGGAAAACCCGTCGACGTGCTGCTTTCCTGGAACATCATGTCTCCGAGGCCCTCCATGCACCTGCCCGGGTTCATACATCGTACTGCCCTCTTCATCACCCCCACCACTGGTTGTATCGTGGGGCAGCTGAAAAGGCAATGGTCCTGTGACTCCACCTCCCCGCAATGAACACAGCGCGCCCTTGCGCCCAGGAACGGAAGTCTCTCCTCCACCTGCAGGTTGTTGCAGTGCACTCTCAGCACCACTTCCCGTGCCCTGGCTGGGGTTGCAAGTGAGTCACGGATCTTGATGGCTCTCTTCCAGTCAATCTTTCTTCCCCTCCTTTCCTCCCACTGCAGTTGTTGTTTGGGCTGAGCAGGTGAAGGCCTCATTGCCCTTCGCAGTTGCCTTAGTTCAGCTCGTTCCCCCTTATCGCAGATTACCTCGGATCGCCCAGTAAGCCACGCATCCTCCCCTCTATGACCGCCATAGGTGTGGCGATTAGATGGTCGACCGATACCACACTGGCATACTCCAACGTAGATATGTGACCCCTCTTGTCAACCTCCGCCCGCTTTCCATATAGCACACCGTTAACCGTGTACTCCAGCGTGTAGTAGAAAAACTCCCTCGGCCTGTACGACGGTATTCGTACCAGCCATGACTCCCTGAAAACCTCCTCTGCAGTCAGCTGAGCGAGTAACATGTCTTTCCAGCTCTGCGGCGTTGCCTCCCACGCTTTCCGAGCCCACTTTCGTTGGTCAATCCCACCCAGCTCCTGTTCCAGGGTGGCGTCACACTTGACGGTTCTGCTGCCATCGCGGTTTTTCTTCAGCAAGTCCCCCAAGCGAACACCCTTCAAGCAGTGCGAGCCCGCCTGATTTCCGAAGGGCGACCGACCTCTGAAAATGATTTTCCGGTTGAATAGCAGTTGCTCCTCCTCCGCATCCCATCTGTGCGCAGGGTCGCCCATGGTCAAGATTTTTGAGTCCCAAAGGGCTTTAACAGCTGCCTTCCATCTTGTCCCTCCTCCCAACCAGTGTTTCAGGATCGAAGGGTGGGCGTAGACCGTCGCCAGGCCGAGCGGGAACCCTGCCGCCTTCTCCCACAACCAGACTCTCAACGGTTCTTGCTCCACCAGGGCTTTCCCCAGATTCTGGATCACGCTGCTGTCTATCCTATGCTTCAAATCGATCATCCCCAGACCGCCCTCCTTTCTTTCCCGACATGACAGGTCATAGCTCCAAAGAATGAAGTGTCTGTCCAGCAGTGCTTTGCCCCCGGAGATGAAGTTGTGACAGAGTCGTTTCACCTTCGTCCAGACTTCGTGTGGCGGAGCGTATATTTGGGCTTGGAACAGCAGGATCGGCATCGCGTAGCTGTTGATAATGGTGACACGTGCAGACGTCTTGAGGTGCTTTGTCTCCCAACAACTCAGCACCGCGCTTACACTCTCGAAAGCCTTGTCCCAAGCTGGTCCCGGCGATCCACCAGATGTAATCCAGATCCCTAGCAGCCTCTCCGCTCTGTCCTTGTCTACCCAGGTGAAAGGTGGAACCAGCGGCAGCAACCTCCTCCTGTTTTTCCCCAGCGGCATCAGCGATGTTTTCTCCTGATTCACCTTCAGTCCCGATATCTCCGCGAAGTCATCTAACAGCTTCTTTGCCGATACCACCTGTTCTTTCCCTCTCAGGACCAGGGTCGTGTCGTCAGCGTAGCCGATGTAGGCCAGCTCACCTTTGACCCCCCTCTTCCTGACTCCCAGTTTTCTCCTCTCGATTTCCTGACAGAGTGGCTCTGCGGCACAGAGGAAAAGATAAGGGGCGAGAGGGCAGCCCTGCCAAACGCCTTTGTCCATCTCCACCTTGTCCCCCACCCAGCCGTTTAGCAGCATCCTGGTGGCAGCACCGTCGTGAAGACCCTTCACCCATGCCGAGTATCCTGGTGGGAAGCCCATGTTCTCGAGTGTCTTGAACAGGTCTTCCAAAAGCTCGCTGATCTCTGTCTTCGCCTTTCTTGATTTGACCAGGCCAGACAGGAAGGCCGATGGTGTCTCCCCCGCCAGCTCCGCCAGCATCCCTGCCATGACTTGGAGCCGCTCCTTGTTTACATCTTGGTAAAGTTTTAGGGCCGCTTCACTCTTTATCAGCTCTTCATACGCATCTTGTGCCGATGGATCTGACATCACCTTCCATCGTAAGGATTCCACTTTCTGCTCCAGATGTAGCATGGTCGCCTTCACCCGTTTCCTTTCCTCCGCTACGTGTGCTCTCATGCTTGCCCGCAGATGCAGCATAAGTCTCTCCAAGCTCTGAGTCGGTTGGTCTGCCTGCGCTTCCAGCACCGCTGCTATGATATTATGAGATCCGTCTCCACCGGCCTGCGACGCCTGAAGCCTCCAGAGACCAGGCCCATGATCTCCTGCCGACGCCGACTTAAGTGTGACCGACACTGCAAACCAATGATCGGTGAGGCCATAAGGCACCATCTTGTGTTTCGCCTCCGTCACATAGTTGAGCAGCGAGTGAGAGACTAAGACCCTGTCGATCCGTGTACTTGTCCTTGCAGATCTGGAAAAGAATGTGTACTCTTTGCGGCTTGGGTGCAGGCAACGGAAAGCGTCTTGTAGGTCCCATCTCGAGCAAATCTGCAGGAATCGCTGGTTTTCCGCCGGAGTGCCAAGCTTCGACGATTTATCCAACTCCGGGTCAGCCACGATGTTGAGGTCCCCAAGTAGTATCGTATGAGGCGATGTGCCGAGGCTCTGCACGAAAGGGGTCAGTACATCGCGGAAGAACACCCCCCTTGCAGAAGCTTGTGCCGGTAAGTACACCGCTACTATTCTGCAACTTAAGTCCCGCCACTTCACCATGAGACTCATAAGCCTGCCTGACTCATGCCGAACTACCTCTGTGAACCGCATCCCTTGCAGGAAGCCCAAGACAGCTAACCCGCCAGCCCTCTGCGACGGCGCCACCACTGCCTGAGCTTCTGATCTAACTTGTGTCCAGAAATTATTATCTGCCGGGATCCTGGTGTCTGTAAGGACCACCATGTTCGCTGCCTTCCTTAACCACCTGACACATCTCTCTTGTTTTCCGCTGCCGCCGAGCCCGTTGATGTTGAGCTCGAGAAAGGTGAGCTGGTTGGTCTTATCCATTAATCCACTTCGTTGAGCCCCACAGCATCCACGGGCGGTTAAGCTTTATTGCAACGATACATCCTGCTACAGCGAACGAAAACAGGGCACCCACTACACAACTTGTACCAACAATCCATCCTGCTGCGTCATCCAGTCCGGTCCAGGTACTTGTGACTAAGCCGCTGATCACTTTGCTACCGCTTTGACAATGAACTCCTTCTTGAAAACGGCCATCTTCTGGGAGTGCTTGCTGGCACGCGTTGCAGTGCCGTCTGCCTTCAACCCCCCTTTGTGCCTGGCAGATGCGACATGAGCCGCTGCCTGTTCGAAATGGTTCCCTTGCGCCTTCTCGCACACCGTTTGCACACATACCCACTCCTCCCGCACACCACCTGTGGAGGTGAGTACAACCGCGGGGTCTTTCAGGATGCGTTTCATGAGGGCTGAGGCTTTCAAGGAAGCAGCTGCGGGTAGGAGTGGGAAAACAGTGGTCAGTAAAAGGTAAGAAATGAGAGGCAAGCGGTAAGGACGTTAAAGGAGATGAGTCAGAAACCATCCTGCTTGTACCGTTCATCTCATGAACCTTTTTGACTGTCAGGTTCCAGCTGGTGAAGTTCTCCTGCCTGGAGGTGATGTAATGGTCATGGTAGCGTGATATGTGATGGCCGTTGCAAAGCTCGCAGGACAGCGACGGGAAGTGCAGAAGGTAACGTCTTCCAGTCGACGGGTCCTCAACAAAATACCTCCAGCGGTATTGATCGGCGGCGTGGGGGATAATCAGACCACGAATGCGGTCAGTATCCAACCCGGTGACCGGGTCCAAAGTACGATGAAAGCCGAAGCCGCTAGCGAAGGCGCTCCTGCCGCGTTTGACGAGCTTGGACACCACCAACAGATGGCGGATCAGCTCAGCAGTGATGTCGGCCGGCACTCCCTTAACCACCACCTCCTTCGCCGACGGGTTCAGAACGCGTTCACGGAGGAAACGCGCATCCTCCGGGTGCTGCCAGGTGAGGTCAATGATGTCGCCATTCACGCATTCATGCTTGATGATGTGGTTCCAGATGTAGTTCGCGTCCCTGACACGGTTAAAAGTGACTTGCAGGCGGCCATAACGCGTGCCTGAGAAGTATGTCGCCGTAAGCTCCTGATACGTCGTCGTCTGTAAAGCGTCCGGAGATAAATGATCCTTCTCATCATCCAGCAGCGCTGCAACTGTTACAGCAGCACGCTTGACTTCAACTTTCCTGGAGATCGGCACCAACAAAGTTAGTGAAAAACGCTTCAAAGCAATGACGCTGCTGAGCGAATCAGGTTCCAGATGCTCATCCGAATCGTCGCTCATGTAGCCGTCGTCATCCTCGCCAGGAG